AAAAAAAAAAAGCTGCTAGTAACAAGGGCATCGCTACTAGTAACATGTTCGCCGCGTTCACTCTGCTCCTGAGCATTGTTCGGCCAAGGGGCCCGTTCCGCCTTCAGGGGCTCTGCACAAAAGCGAAGTGCCATGCCCGAGGTCCTCAGGTCATCTATTTGAAAAGAGACTCTATTTTATTGGATTTCTTGTGTTTGCGATCAAGGAACTGGCAAACTGTATAGTCTAGATCGACCGTGAGAAAGCTGGAGGGATGCTCTTGGATTGAAATCGGAAGAACATATCACACGATATCACATCTAAGGAAAAGTAGCTCTGAGAAGCTAGAAGCTTGTGGAGTGGGCTTGGTACAAACAAAGCATAGATAAAACTGCATAAGATCGCGCAAGGGGAACAAACTCTCCACAAGGTGGTGGAGACGGTGGAGAGTCTGGCCAAGCACGGATTTTAAGTATATCGGTAAACCGGTGTCGTCAAATACCAGACGCGCGTGATGCCGCAATGGAAGCAGGCAAACTATTTTGTCCATTGGCGTCTGTGCTTGCCGATGATGGCTGGAGAGACATATGCAGCAGGGGTATACCGTGAAGTGCCCCGCTCAGTATTTATATAAGTGAAGCCAAAACCAAGGGGACTAGTTCTCTTTTGCTTTCTGGGGTACTGCTTTCATCATCTTGACTGGCCTAGAGTCTACAGTGGCAATGAAATCAAGGTCGCACAATGTCAGAACTGCGCTCTGAGTCATGAAATGAATAGTTATATATATATACCATTATATATATATATAATACTATTTTACGCTCTGTGGACATGTACTCTGCAACCAGCTGGAAGCAGGTCAAAAAGCTCTCTTTTGCAGCGTGATTCATCTTCGTCCCAACGCAACCAAAACAGCTCATCGTCGATGAATGCAGAAGAAACTTTGACGTGCTGAAAGACCGGATGCTCTGCCACAGCTTTCAACGGTAGGCGGACCGATTACATTGTGAAAATGGTGATGTTTTCATTGACAACAACAGAACAACGGGCAAATTTTTCTGGGCACTGACGACTCCTTCAGCAGAAACACGTTGGCATTGTTTCAGCCAGCAGAAATGTTGGCCAACAGTACAAAAAAATTGTGCTTTTGTTTTTAGGAAACCGTGCGTTTGATCACATACAGTACATGGCATTGACAAGAGCTCTGAATGTTCAAGTTTGCCTTCTGTCCAAGGCTCTGCACAGCTGCCTTGACCACTTGAGGATCCGCTCTTAGAGCTTCAGAGGCAAACTCCTGAGATGTCTCGCTTGACACGCTAACAACCCAACCAACAACCAGCAACCGTACAACTAGCTGTTTATTCATATCGAATCCGCACATCTTCCCTCCACATATTGTGGTATGCCACAACCCACAAATGCTAAGATGCTGCTGCTCTGATTCTTAGCAGATCTCTCCAGTTGCTAAAGTAGGCTGGGGCTAGGTTGATGATATTGTACTCAGCGCAGATCGATTCTCCAGCATAGCACCTTTCTTCTTCACAGCCTCCAGGACCACCTGCAAGTCATGTGAAAGTTGCTGAAACCCCATCTTGATTTGTACAGTTAGATTGTTGAAGGTTCCGATCAGAGATGTGAATGAGCTTGTCATGTAGTTGTGGTTTTAAAAGCTTTCGCACGTCTGCAACTAGAATCAAATCGAAACAAGTCATAGAGTTGCGGGCGTCTGAACTTGGAGTCCAAACACCCCACGAGTATCCTTGGGCACCTCCTGATCGGCTCGAAGCTCATCTGGTGCGAGCTGCAAAGCACTGCCATCCTGGATGGGGCGTCCGAATGCACAAGTCATGTGAAATGGAAGAGCTTCGAAAGAAGTAGCGACTAGGAACAAAGGGCATCGCTACTAGGAGCAAGGACGCTACTAGGGGCTCCTGGACGCTGTGCATACGAAACGTGTGTCTCGGCCCCCGGTGATGCGGGGGCAGGCCACGCGAAAACGCGAAAACCGCGAAAACGCGAAAACGGCGAAAACGGCGGAAACAAAGTGCTTGGATTTGACAGCTCACGGTTTTCTAGAACACCGCATCGGCGCGAAAACGGCGAAAACGCGAAAACGGCGAAAACGGCGAAAACACGAAAACGGCGAAAACGGCGAAAACGGGAAAACGGCGAGTAGTTGGGGAAGAGTGCCAAGTATTTGCAAAAGACCAGTTTCAGAAGAATGGAGAGTTGCAGAATAGGACTTTGTTCCTTTGATAATAAGCCTCAGTAGCACGCAAAAAGGAGAGTGTTGAAAACGTTAAACTGAGAACTAGACGACGGTTGGCCCGAGAGCGAGACATGTAATTGTCCAGCACTGTCGAAAAGATGTATAGAAAGAGAGAAAGAGAGGGTGGATGTGAAGGAGTGATAGTGTGGATGCGCAGGCGCAATATAGATTCTGTAGATGTATGGAGGTGGAGGTAGATCTGTGGATGTGAGCGTGCAAAGATGTAAATGCACAGAGACGAGAGAAAAGATATGTAGAAAGAAAGAAAGACAGGACAGATGTGAAGGAGCGACAGTGTGGATGTACAGATGTGATATAGATGTGCAGATGTGTGGGTGTGGTGCGGTGGAGAGGTAGATCTGCGGATGTGAGCGTGTGACGGTGTATATGTAGAGAGGTGAGGGGGTGTATGACGTAGATGCGTCGATGCAACGGCTGCGCAACGTCAACCTTAGCTGTGCAAGTACAATGCTGAAGAGGTTCAAATAGAACTGAAGAACGTACATTTCACACTGAAGTTTCCACGAGCAGGGCGACCTGAGAGTAAACGACGTGACGATCATGACAAGCGACTCGTGTATTCCAAGCGAACATCGTTTGTCATGAAGGTGTGAAGTACACACATACTAACGTCACGATGACTCTTTTGTGGCAGCCACTTATGAGTAAGCAAAGTAGCTAAAATTTGTCAACCTCTCAAGAGAGCCGGGTGGCGCCAGAGATGACTCAGCCGCGAGAGATGACTCATCCGCGTACTAAAGTTGTACTACAAAGTCGCCAGTTCTCAGCTTCCAGCTCCCCAGATACTCCGCGTCACAGCTTGCTCCGCGTACTAAAGTTGTACTACAAAGTCGCCAGTTCTCATCTTCTAGCTCCCCAGATACTCCGCGTACTAAAGTTGCACTACAAAGTCGCCAGTTCTCATTTTCCAGCTCCCCAGATACTCCGCGTACTAAAGTTGTACTACAATGTCGCCAGTTCTCAGCTTAAGACTCCACAGATTGCTCCGCGTACAAAAAAAAGGAAATACAAAGTCGCCAGTTCGCATCTTCCAGCTCTCAGCTTCCAGCTCCTGCGATACTCCGCGTACTGAAGTTCTACTCGAAAGTCGCCAGTTCTCAGCTCCACAGATTGCTCCGCGCACTGAAGTTGTACTACAAAGTCCACAGTCCTGCAGAGGGTTGCGCCGGACAAACACAAATCGCACTCTCACCTGCATTTCGCGCACTCGACACGCACGATCTCCGCAGAGGGTTGTCCCGGACTGGGACAAATCGCACTCTCGCCTGCATTTCGCGCATTCGACACGCACGATCTCCGCAGAGGGTTGTCCCGGACCAGGTCAAATCGCACTCGCGCCTGCATTTCGCGCACGAACTAACTTAGAGTCCATCGCAAGCCCTTGGTTTCCAATCTGTCCTTGCGTCGCAAGAGCTCGTCGATTCCGCGCAAGGAGAGCCATGAGGCATACCACGGCTCTTCAGTTTGATGGAGAGGAATGGACGTCGTCTGATTCTTGTTTTTCTTTCATCCCTGGGTACCCTCTGGATAGACTTGGTCACGTTATCTGGTCGTTCATGCGTAGTGCCTGTGATGAGGTGATATTCCTTTTGGATTGGAGATTAAGATCATTCTGATTCACTGACTAAGATTCGTGAATTGAACTTAAACTTCAACCGTTGAGATTTAGTGCACAACTAAGGAGCATAAGTGAAAACCCTCGAAAGTGGCGAAGACCAAGAAAACAACGACTGCGCGAAGCCGACACAAACGGCGAAAACTACGAAAATGGCGAAAACGAAAAAAAGCGCAAACAGGCGAAAACGGCGAAAGCGACGAAAGCGGCGAAAACGGCGAAAACGCGAAAACGGCGAAAACGCGAAAACGGCGAAAACGCGAAAACGGCGAAAACGGCGAAAACGGCGAAAACGCGAAAACGGCGAAAACGGCGAAAACGCGAAAACGGCGAAAACGGCTAAAACGGGAAAACGGCGAGAACGACGAAAACCGTTTTCTTGGTTTTCTCGTTTTGCCGGTTTTCTTGGTTGTGGTTTTCACGCTCAAAGGCAAGACAAGCAAGAAGACGTAAGCAAACTGGAAAAAGCTTCCACACGGGAAAACGCGAAAACGGTTTTCTCGGTTTTCTCGGTTTTCTCGGTTTTCTGGTTTTCTCAGTTTTCTCGGTTTTCTCGGTTTTGTCGTCGCATCGCGCGGGCCACGACGCAGGTTTTGTGTTCTTAGCCTGGCCTTACTACTAGGAACAAGAAGCTACTAGGAACAAAGGGCATCGACTGGCAGCAAAGTCCAGGACTTAGATCTTGTTACGTTGACTACTCCGAGTTTGCCCAGCGAATTGTCTCCGCTCCTGGCGGACGGCCACAAGCACCACCTCTCTGTCTCGCTGAAGCGTCAAGCTGGCAAACTCCAAAGCTAAGCCATTTTGCCTCCAACGAGGAAAAGCTCCAAATCCGGGCGGAGCTAAAGCTTGCAAAGAAGAGTCGCTGGCCTTACAGCTTCCAGGACAATCTCACGATCTTTGCGCATGTCCTCGCAAAAGTGAACTGGGTGTCATCAAATTTCCAGCACTGTTCAAAGCTTCCACTGTCAATTTCCTATCAACTCTGGCAAACAGTTCAAAGTTACAGTACTCTTTCCTGTAGCATGAATGACAAGAGGTTAAACTCATGAGTTGAGTAGCTGCAATGTCCTCTGCAGCAAATTGAAGAGCTATCCCAGTCTGTCTCACAGTTGCTTTGACAATTTCCGGGTCAGCGCGTAAGCTGGCATCAGCATGCTCCAGCATGAAGCCATATTGGCCTTGGCATTGGCTGGCATCATGCAAATGTCATGTAGCGAATGTGTGTGTCATCATTTTTTGATTTTTTGAGATTGAGTGCTCTGCTCACTGCAGCAAGAACGACCTGGCCAAGTCCATCTTCATCAAGAGTCAGCTTCGGGGTCTTTACTGGCTCCAAAAGCCTTGCTTGACCAACTCCGCTCATGTTTTGATGGGTCCCAAAAAACAGAGGCCTTGTTGGAGCTTTCAGCCAGAGTTGCATCCTAGGCCTCTCCAACAAACACTCCAAGCCATGCCTCATGATCAGCTCTGAATCCTTCATCGATGAACCTTAAGAGTTGGACTGTCGGTGAGGCAAACCTATAGATCAACCGAATACGTCCGCATCTCCAAAAAGTAAACAGTGCAACCTTCTGGACTGCGGAGTGGCTCAAGTGTCATCAAACAACAAGCCATCAAAGCCGAAACAACATGAAGCAAAACCATCTGCAATCGAGGATGCTCCAGCGCGCGTCCATCCAACTGGACTGCCTGCAGTGCAAAGTCCCGGCACCGCAGCAGTCTCAGCGCAGCAAACGAGAGAACCTGACGGGCTGCGAGATTCACCTTCGTCGTTATATGTGTCCCAGAATACACTTCCATTCCAAGAACCTACACACCTACACGAATGCACCAACGGGAGCAATGAAGGAGCTCACCAAACTGGACCGTCCATACAAGGAATTTAAAACGGGCGTTGGACCTATAGGATTCTCGTCCCTTGTTTACTTGCTCCTCAAGTTACGGGAGCCTCCTCTAGTTCTCCCATTGCCCTAGCTACGCCTGCAACACCAAGGCCCCGAAGCAATAATTGGTTACAGTTTCTGAAGATCATGGTATTGCTCCACTGTAGTGCCATTGCTCTACCACCCTCTGGCCTATGGCCTTGGTGCAAGCTTTTCTTGCCGGAAGAAAAGTTGTGATTTGATGTGGAAAGAAAAACTTCAAGAAAAAAGTAAAAGTGTTGAGAATCTTCTCGCACTCCAGACCCGGCCTCAGCACTCCACTTCATCGCCAACAAGACGAGCTGCGCATCCCCGCGGAGCTCCAAGGAAGCAGCATCCAGGACACCCCCGCAGTGCTCCAAGGCCCCTGTTCCCGCTGAGCAGAATGAACAACAACTTGACACCAAGCTTTGTCGCTTGTCCGTCTTTTCATTCGAGGTGGTTGGCTGCTAAAATGGGGTGAGGGAGGGAGGGAGGGAGGGAGGAAGGGAGGGGAAGGGGAGGGAGGGAGGGAGGGAGGGGAAGGGGAAGGGGAGGGGGGAACAAACTAAAGATTGAACAAACAGTAAGCTAATTTAGTATGTAACAGAATGTAGCTTAAGTACCCCAGTAGTGGCAAGAAAGCGGGAGTGGACGCAGAAGGTCGAAGGTCAAAGGATTCTTCGGATGGTTAATTGGCCTTTCTTTCATCGTTCCCGTCTTTCTTCCTTTCTCTTTCTTCATCAAGTCTTCACTGTGGTTTGTAACTAGTACCTTTGGCAGTCTGAGGTGACCTCAAATGCATCCAAGCAGCGCATGACAACCTCAGTGAAAATTGATATCGTTCGACTGTCAACCACTCCAGAAACTGAGAGGGCATATTGTTCTGGCTGTTCCGTCAAGACCCGTCTCCCCCTGGCTGATGTGCAAGTACCCTAGAATGGAAGGCCTGTGGAACGGGCATTTTTCTTCTCGTTCGCAAACAACATGGACCGCGAAGAGTGATGGTAGTTGTTTGCAGACATACCTACATCATCCCCCGCCTCTCGGTCGTTGCGAATTTCCTGAGGAGCTCGGTGCAACCTCGTTCGTGTTGAGGGCCGAGCGCTTGGATCATCTCATCTAAAATAAATGTTATATGTTTCGATTGACTAATAATACATGGGAACACACATATATTATATATATATACATATATTTAAACAGTGTGTATAACTTGAACAACAATCAAACTTGTTGCCTCTATCTGCAAGAAGTTCAATGAGGACTTAGAGAGAGTGAGAGAGTGAGGGAGGACAACATTATGGTCGTGCTCACCTATCTTTCATGAAATAGTATCCATCATCTTGAGGGACCTGCCTTAAAACCGCTGAGCTGAGCCAAGCATCTTCCGCGGGTTCTGCTCCACCAGCTGAAGCCATTTCGCTTGCTCCGGGGGGCGCCGCACCAAAGTCACCTCTTCAGATGCAAGACTCTCCAGACGCTCTGGGCCCAAGAGCTCTACACCTCCGGTCGCGTGTTTCGCCGTCCGCGAGCGCGGGATCCGACTGGGACGTCTCAGTCATGTCGCCCACTATAGACTATTACCAACTGATGTCCAATCGCATTTCATTTTCGTGTCGTGCTTTTCGCAGGGTTCGATGTCTTCTGCCTTCTGCTTGATCTCCGGCCTTGGGAGCTCAGAAGTCGCTGTTCTCTCTCTGGAACGAAGGCCTGAACCGTCGGAAAGCCGGGCCAAGCACTTCGTGTTTTCGGGGTCAAGACAATTGGAGATGTATCCAACTGACTCGGAGGTATTAGGACTTATTTGGGTTTCAAGTGACACATGGAATCTGAGCTTGTGAAAACAAATAGCCCCAGTAGTGGGGATGCCAATCAAGCGACCAACTCATTGCCAATTACTTGCAAAATCTCCACGTGGTGCTCAACAACATTCAACAAGCCCAAAGGACCAATTTCTTACTTTCTCACCTTCAGCTTTGTTCGCAGTTGCTCTGCAGTCCATGATGGCTCGACCACCAGTTCAGCACAAAGCTCTCCGCTCAAATGCCGCACACGCAATAAGGGCATCGTGAAGCACAGGCAGAAGCCAGAATGAATGGACCGACTGGGTGCGTTTTCTTCGTTTCTGGCTGTAGATGTTAATGAAGGACAGAAAGAACCAGAAAGAGACTTTGACTCTATTCTAAGTCGCACCTGAAAGTCGGCACGTCTTGGACCTCAACCAGTTTAATGCTGTTGTCTCCTGGTGCTCGAGAAAGCCTGCTCACCCCCTTCACAATCTCCATGTATGCAACTAGTTCTTGCTGGTGCTGCTTCGGTACATGGATTGGTAAAAACCAAAGCCTGGTTCTGGCTTTCAGGAATCATGTTGCACAGGTGGACACACAGTGAACCATAACCAACTTGCTGCTGCATCTTTTTTGAGGTTCTAAAATGGCTACGCAAAGCACCTGAACCCAGTCTCTCAATGGACCTCCAAACTTCCAGCTTGCTCTGTTCACCTTTTGCCGGCTTCATCCAGCTGCATCTCTAGTGGCCTGCGTACAAAATGTCATTGAAGCTCTCAAGCGGAGGCACAGCCGTGCGTTGGCCCGTGGGGAGAGCCGCATCAAGAGGTTGCAACGCATACGATGACAAAACAAAACACTTGGATTGGATTGCAACAACTTGATTGGCCGTCCTCGCTTTTGCGACAAAAACACCAAAGACCATCACGGACCGAATGATATGCGGCAACCTTCTGGGCTCTGGCCTGACCTTTACATGGTGTGCAAATCCATGACGAGAAACAACACCATGACCCTTGGATCGCTGAGGATGTGACCAAAGACACATCACTCCCTCGGGTCTTGTGTTGTGCTGTACAAGTTCGTTCTGGCCAGCGGAGAAGCCAAGCTTCAATTCAAGGCACCCAAAGAAGTGCAAAAAGGCAGAGCCGTTAGAATTGGGCCTGCTTAGAATTTCAAGATACTGATGATACTGTACCGTCCTTGTCTGGAAAATGAGTCTCAGCTCAGAACACCTACTTGCTTCAGAAAGTCTCCGAGCAAACCAACACAGCGGTAAAAATTTCCAGGGGACACTCTCCAGTTGAAGAAGAAGTGCCCTTCACCGGGGAACGTGACCAATTTGCAATCACTGCCCGAGCCCTCCATCCTGGGATCTCCAAGAGTCCATGAACTGCCATTTGCTCTGACTGGGGACTGCGGGGTGGACGGAGCAAAACTTGAGGACATCTATATAGTGCTTGTAACAATATCTCAAAGGTTTCCATGTCCAGAGCACAGCCCTTTTGAAGTGCCAACAATGTAAACGTTGAAACTGTTTCTGTTGCTGGATAAGTGCGGCTGCGTAGCTTTTCTTGGAAATGCTCCACCTCTTCCAGTGGCACCAAGCGGTCCTCTGTGCCATGAAGAATCAATACAGGCTGGCGCAGCTGGCCTTGGCATCACACAGCTCAACTAACGGTGGACTGCATGTGTCCCACACCTGGAAAAGCCTCTGTCATATAACAGTTTTGTTTAAATGGATGAAGAAACTGACGCAGTTCTGTGCATTCAATCGAACCAGCTCTTCCCAGTCACAGGCGATCTGATAGATAATATAGATGCGGCTACGGACAAGGGCTATCCTGGAATGCATAAGATTGTGTGGCTCTAGGTGCCCAGGCGGGTGTTGAAGATGGGCGACTCCTCCTCTAGGATCTTCTTCCCATATCGCATCCGCAACGCGCTAGAGCCGAGCCAAGTACCTCAGGCGGCTTAATCATCCAGCATTTTTGGCACAACAATAGGAACTCCCCATATTCTTCCATCTCCTTGCCCAGGCACACCATCGGCGCTCTCGCCATCGCTCCTGGAATCGCAAGTCCAAGACTGGGTTGAAGAGCAAAAGCCTCAGTTGTCAAAGCAAAAGTGCATCCTTCCTCATTGCAGCTTGGACCGTATTTCCGTGGTCTTTCAATTTCTGAGAGATGTGTCAGATTCTCGTTTTTCTTCTACCGAGCTGCCCAGCAAGGCCAAGCCCCTCTTCAGCACCCAAGACCGCCATGGCAGCGGTGTGGCCGCCGCTGGAGGCACCTGCCAGGTTTATTGCAGGCTTGGACTCCTCAATCTGAAGAAAGACTGCCCGTAGACCCTGGGCATGGAAGGAACTACAGATGCAAAGAACTGCCTCCAATCGTCGTGGGAGACTACGGTCAACAAGTGAAACAGTGGCAACACTGTGGGAAAGAGCAATTCAGCGAAGCTGCGATCAGGGCCTGACTTTAGAAAAGTCAGAACACCTACTCTGTAGCTTCTGGTGATCCTGGAACCAAGCCTCGACTCCGGCCTGCGAGAACAATCTTGTCCGGGTCCAAACCAAAGTCATCGGCCTTCTCTTGCAAGTATTTGACGCAACGACGTGCATCCTCCACACTCTCAATCGGCACCTGGGCATTTCTGTATGTCTTTCAACATCTCTGCCGCCTCAAATCACACATGTGATACCTGCAGAGTCTATCAGAGTATACAGCACAACAAATATCCCAAGATATCCTAAGAATATACACTCAGCAAGTCTGCTCCAAAGTGGTGCCGTCCGATTTGCTTTTGACTTCAAGTCTAGATTGCCCAGCCCTGCCTTGGCACGTGGATGTGTCAACAGACAACTAACCTCGCAACATGCCGTAGGAATCCCATACTGCCGAGATACGGCCTGCAGAGAAGTGCAACCGGGTAAATGCCGAAGAAGCGGGCTACTCCGGCCACTCTTCCCTTTTTCCAAAAACATGCAAAAGACTAAAAATCATTGATCAGTAGCAAGTCAGTAGCCTGTAAGTAGCCTGTTCGCTATTGGCGGGAAGAGTCTCGGAAATACTCTGGAAGCTTCCCCAAGACCCTATTCAGCCCCTGTTGTTTGCCTTTCTTCTAATGCTTGCCCTTCTGCTGTTCCCAAGCCCGGTCCTTCGCGTACGGGTAGAACTGCGACGGTGCACCTCCGAGGAACCCACCTGCAGGTCTTCGGCGCATGTTCACCAGCTAAACCAAACAACCCCAGAAGCTTGGACCTCTTGAAGCCCTGGCTACAAAGACGAGAAGGAACAAAGAGGCACAAGCTTCATCTTGAAAGACTGGACAACGAAACAACAAGCAAAGGTGTACAGGTGATTCACTGACTTGAAGGGTCCCCTCATGACCGACACCTGTTGCTTTCCGTATGATTTGTCCAAAAGTATGAGAAAATGTAACATTGACCACACTGGTCCATGCTAAATTTCCATCAATATGCATTGACACACAGCCACCCATCATAAACATTGATCAATGCAAAGGAAATCTGGGCATGCCCACGTTCTCCAAAACAGTTGCAGCCCCAACGAATGAAAGATTCCAGAAAGTCAGGACTAACGCAATTTGTTCGAGCCAAATTTGTATCCGTTTGCTTTGGTATAGAGTCTAGAGCCAAGCCAAACGATGTACCCGCAGCAACCAATTCGGATATGGCATTGCGTGGGTGCGGGCCTCCATGCACGAACACCACGCAACCAGAAGGCGTTGTTCTTTGGGTGTTCGGCTGGAGAAGGTGCAAGTTCAGGCCGCTCATCGAATAGGTATGGACCTGAACCAACTGGAGGGATAGGTCTGAAAGGATTCCAAAATCTGAAAGAGGATCGGGCTCTTTATCCTTCTGGCATGCTGTGCAGCTCAAAGGCCGTTTCTACAAAATAAGCTATAGTTGGGTATATGTGTTATCCATCTTGACCTGCAAAGCCTTCTTTATCAATTGTGAAGCCATAAAGGCAAGTCAGGGCAACGCTACAAGGAGAACAAATCATCGTGTCAAATCCTCAGAATCCCTAGGCCAACCCCAAGTGCATAAACACATGAAGAGCAAATGGAACAAAGAACTCATGACAACCTCTTTTTCTCAACCAGCCTCGACCCACTTTGGCCGTTACCCAGCCTCACCACCAAGAGTAGAGACAAAATGCTGCTCAATTTTCTTCCTGTTGGGAGCAAGGTTGATGCCAGGCATATGACAGAATCTTTAAAGCCCTGGCTCAGGAGTTGCTTTATTCTTCCAGGTTCAGTCCTCAGGAAGGCACCAGCAAAGACTCCTGGGAGTTGATCTAACCAGGGATTTCCTAAGTCGCCAGAGGCAAAGGTCGCCATGGCTCCTCTCCTTCGACTCAAGATTCGGAGAAGGTAAACATGTCTTTGTCACTGTCCCTGTCTATTTGATCATTAGCTTGTCCACCATTGAGCACACAATTTGTTGCTCTACATGTTGTTCAACATGCAGCGGCCATTTGGGGAAACAAACTCTGAAGTCGGGCAAATGGATGCAAATTGCACTTCTTTCATGTTTGATGATTCGATTCGCAGCTTGATGTGTTCAATTTCACCTGAGCAAAATAGTCCACAAGGAGTTCAAGATTCGTGCACAGTATTTGGATACAGGATACAAGTGCAGTGCATTGCCTGGCACTAGATTAAGTCACTTAAGAAGCTTCATTGATACTGAATTGGCAAGCAAAAACACGGGTGTCTTTCGTGTCGTTCAAGCATTAACCCTTTATTGACCTAAACTAGTCAAGTTTTTTGACCGAAATGGTTCCATTCACCGCAAAAATGATCTTCCGACCCCGCTAGCGCACTTGACCCCGCGCGGCTTTGGACCTTGCGGTGCACAGCGATGCGTTCGTCGACCGGTGCCGACCTTTCGTCGTCTTTCCCCCTTCCTTTGGCAGGAAAGTCTTTCAAGTCTAGCACCTTCAAGTCTTCTTCTTCCCAACTAGTTTGCATTCTCAAATGTTGCCACTGCTCTGCTTGGTGATCCAAGATCGTGGCTGGGCCCAGAATTGCGCCAGCTCCTGTAGCAAACGATGCGCATCAGGACACGCAGTGTTTGATTGTTGTCAGGCTCAATGTTGCTGGATGGAATGGTGCGTCGCCCAAAAATAAACAATTGAACTCTGTGATAAATCTGTCTCAGAATTGTGGTAAACGCAAAAACTACTTAAAGTTGCGTGTAGTTGCAGTTCGCCGCCGCTGGCGTCTCATGATTGACTTGGCCTGCCTCATGCAAACTGGAGAAGCCCATGGCTGAACGCTATGACGGCAGCCGGTTTCTCTCTATGCAAGCCCCAGAAACACAGATGGCAGTTGATTCAGTCAAGATGACGTGAGTCCAAAGTATTGCAAGTCAAATACTGACTTCTAGTCTTGCCCGTGGCAACTTGACATGCATGTTGCATCGCATTGCTTATGAATATCTTGTCAGACAATATCACACTCTCAGGCTACTTGCCGGCTTGCTAGCAAACTGCATCATCAGCCCAATGGCAGTTACAACGTCAAGTCAAGCTATGTGTACACATATATGTATATATAACCATTCAGCTTCACTGCGTCCTCAAGGAGCTTCACAGGCTGGATGGCTTTTTGCCTTGCCAGCTTCTACCCAGCTTCCCCTCCTCGTCCAAGCGTTTCGTTCTGCAAGAGCACATGCCAAACCTCAGATGGCAAACGCAGACTGGAGTAGTGTCGACAAAGTTCATCCACTCGTGGGAACAGCTGGGCCAAAGCTAAAACGAGGTCCCGGGATTCCGGAGCAATGCGTTTCAAATAGAGGAGGGCTGTGGTTTCTTGGCCATAGATCTCCATCACTTTTTGAGACAGCCATCTGCCCTTGCGTCGACAATAGTACTCGCCATCTTCAGTCATGTGTAAATGCCATGTCGCCCCTCCGGCCCGGAGTGAGCCGGGATCAAGAGGCTTGAAGCCATACCGCTTATCAACAGGAAGTTTCAATGCTGCTAATTGAAAATGTACACGAAGAGTTTGACCCGACATGTTCCAAAGTTTCGCTTCACTCGGCAATCTACCATAGGCCAAATCAACAACTGCCAGGAGGTCGGGAATGTCAATCTTCCCTGCTTGGTGCTTAGCGCCAGTCTGTCTGGTCTTGGGTTCGGTGATGGCCAGGGTGCCAAAGAAGATTGTATGGCCAGGGTGCCTGGGCAAGCCTTCGCGCATTTAAGAGCTCTCCTGGTCTTAGGAGTGCCCCCCACATCAAGCTCAGTGCACCGGCTAACGGCAGCCAGCCCCACATCAAACAAACCGTAATCATGGCAACAAAATTTGCCATGGCATGGCGACATGATGCGTCGTAGGTTCGGCTTGCAGCCATTGAAAAGCAAGGTCCCAACTGCCCTGCATCCATCTTCTCAAAGCAGGCTTTCTAGAGGTTAAGTGGTTGATGGTTTCAGCGTATTGATTGTAAGGTCGACTGGCTCGATAAAGCGCCCGACCGAAGGCAAAAACAACAGCGTTAATTTCATCCATGTATTTTGAATGATCCCTCAACAAACCTTCAAAGTCGATTCCCTCCGAAGACAGCCACCCAATATATTGAGCCCAGTAGCGCTCTCGAAGCTTGTTTGTCCGATCCAACGTGGGCCTTAGCAGGTTGCGCCCAGCGCCCAGAAAGGAGAGGCAGGCAGCAGCGGGAGGAGCCACAGCAGAAATCCAAAATGAGGAGAAAATCCACGAAACGGTCGGCGGCAAGGCCTGGGCGAGACGATGGGCCTGCGTGGCCCCTCCCCTGGGAGGCCAAGGGTTTGATCAGAATCCATGTGATGGAAAACTTGCTGGCTGCAGTTGAGGTGGGCAATGGCAGGCGTGCTCCTCTTCAACGCCGACCATCTATATCTGGAGCGATCAGAGATCTGTGTCACAGCGCGGCCCAAAAGTAGCAGCGCAAGTCTGATCCAATTTGAAGCCCACCGCTTGGTGAGGCGGAGAGAGGCAATAGCCCAAAGCTCCTGGAGTGAAAGGTTGCTCCAGCTAAAACCTTGAACTGGTTGCCGAAGAGGGGTGTCTCTGGTAGGATCATCCGCACAGTTCAGCCGGGTAGGGCAAAAAGGATTCACCATATGTAGGCCAGATGCAACCATGGTGGAGGAGATCCTCCTGATGACTCACGACAGGGGCGTGGACGAGGAACGGCCCTTCCCTAATGCACACCTACAGACACGAGCAGGACCTTTCTTTGCTTTCTTCTCAATGAGGCGTTCCACAGCCTTCATCTCTAACAGGTTGAGGAGCGCTTGAATCTCCAGGAGCTTTCAACTTGCCACTTGCTGGATAACATGATCTTATTCACACGCTGATTCTCCAGGCCACAAACCTCAGGGCATTCATCCTCAATGTATCTGGCCTTGATGATGGCCTGATGGAACACCGTGGCAAGCGCTTTGGACAGCTCTGGAGTATAAATTGCTGAAGCTTTGTATACACACCCTGTACCGCAATGTGGTTGCAGGTGCCTTGACATCTCCTCATGATTGGCTCCGGGTCAATGTCAACTCCAAGGAACGCAAAAGACATCTGATGCGGAGATCCATATTGACAGGAATTAATTTGTCCTCACTTCAACTGCCTCAGGAAGCATCTTTACCGCCTGATACGGGGGCAAGTACTTGGTCTTTGAGGAAAAGGGTCTCTCAAACAACCCAGAAGCGCCATGTACTCCAGCTTCTCAGAGAAGTTGAAGCCCCCGCAAAGTGAGGACGTTGCCATCTCTTGTCTTCTCTTCCCAAGGATCAAAACCATAAAGGCACAGGCTATCACGAAGAGCAGGCCTCCTCATGATCGAGAATGTGGTGCACGGCGGCTCCAGCATGATGCCCTTTAGAGACCCACTCTCTAAGAGGTAGTATAGCCATTCAAGCATGTATAATTGCTTCATGTCATACTCAGGCGACAACGACAGATCCAACGGCCCATGAACGTTTTCTCATCATCCCCCGCCTGCCAGGGGGGCAGATCACCAAGTTGCCTTTACGTCGTGCACATACATACCTTGGAGCGAAGATCAGCTACTATAATTTTGAGCAGTTGACTGTGAAGCATAGGATATGCGCAGGCAGGATCACATGCGCACGCTTGAGATCAATTTTCCATCGGCGTCACTCCATCTCCCTGCAGGGTCGGATCTCTGCGTGGGTAGTCTTGAGGTCCTTCGCAAGGCCTGCCTCCGTGATCTGAGACGGACTGCACGCAGTCCCAGTCACACCACATATGAAACTGACCATGTGACCATGAGCTGTTGACCAGGCCCAACCTCCCCCTGGACCCGGGCACAACAGTGCAAACACCATGCTGCACTGCCTTGGCGCTCCCAACTTGGGCTGCTAGGGCTTGCACTTGTTCAGCTAGGGAGGCGTTTGTTATCCTCTTTGCCGGAGCTTTCTTTGCGCCAGAAGTCTTTGGAACCGGCTCGTCTCGAGCGCAGTCAAAATGGAGCCTTGCAGCCCCTTCCTCTTCAGCCCAAGCATGAGCTGCTGCGACCAGATCAGGTAGGGCTGGGAGAGCCGTTGGTGAAGCCTCAGAGAAAGAATATATCTCCTCCAGCGAATCTGTGACTGGGTCATATTCTCGCAGGTGGGTCAGGACATCATCGGAGAAGTCTATGATCAAGACTTCACTGCGAAATCCAGCTTGAAAAATCGTTCCAGCCTCATCCTCGTCCACCATCTCAACGTCCAAAGTTTTGGATGGTCCGAGGAGATCATCCTCACCACTAACCATTCCTTGCTG